TTATTATCATTATTATTATTATTATCATTATCATTATCATTACTATTATTGCTAATTAAAGCCATTGGGGTAGAAGAACGCGTTCGTTATTCGTCTAAATAACAGTGAGGGTTGGGGGTGGGATTGCATATGAAATGAAATTACCATATTATCATCTCCACTTTAATTCAAATTTGGAACTTAGCTATGTGGAATACAAAGGGGAAGCACTTGTTTAAAAAAACACTTATGGGTAGAGGAAAACGTTCAATGTGCACATTGAGAGATTGTCAGTATTGTATATAACGATTATGAAGTGCGTGAGCGTGCATGTGAAGAGAATGATACGAGTGGGACACAATTAAAAGTAAATGAAACAGCAGCTCTGATTATATGAATAAATGCGTGCGTCCATGTGCAGTTTGAGTAAGCGGACACAATTAAAAGTAAATGAAGCATAATTATCAGCTCTGATAATATAAATAAATGTGTGCGTTCATGTGCAGTTTGAGTAAGTGTTCACAAAAATGTTGTGAACTTGTTATCACGAATAATTTATTTTATGTATTAGGTGTGTTCATCTACTTTAATAATTCAAAATAACTGTCTCTATTTTGCTTTTCTAAGTAGTATATGAATCAGTAGAGGCGTGTGTGTCTACGTGTTTGTGTGTGTGTGTGTGTGTGTCTGTCTGTCTGTCTGTCTGTCTGTGTATGAGTGTGTGTGCGTGTATGTGCGTGGTGTGTGTGCGTGTGTGTGTCTGTCTGTGTACGTGTGTGTGTGTGTGTGTGCGTGTACGTGTGTGTGTGTGTGTGTGTGTATGTATGAAAGAGTGTTAGTTTGTGTGTGTGTCTGTCTGTCTGTCTGTCTGTCTGTCTGTCTGTCTGTGTATGTGAAAGAGTGTTAGATTGCGTGTTTTGTGTTCGTGTTTTTGAGGACATCGTTCTTTTCTAAAGGCGCTCACCTATAGCGCCCTGGGCTGTGTGGACCTGACCTGATCTGTTGTATGACAATCTCTTTCCTAACCAGGCCACACCAGAGCTGGGCAAAGAAAATGTAGGAAATGAATTATTGCATAAGCCTATTTTAGAAACTAGGGATATGTTATACAATATGAATGTCTACTTAATTCCTCACTTTTCTGCTAATCTAACGTTTTTTACCGCTCATATAACTGGGGTGTCGCTGGAAGTTCGAGATATTAATTATTAGTAGTTCGAACACCTGACTTCATGTTGCGTTGCATTATTCAAGGTCTGTTTGACTTCATGATGTTATTTTTTGCGTCGAAATGAAATACAATCATTCTGGGCCTATCAAACGTCATGACTTTTTCGAGAGGAGATAATATCAGTATGAAGACACGGGAAAAAGGCAAGGATGAAGGAGGCAGTCTATCAAAAGATGGGAACAGGACACAGAAAGCTGGTTTAAGACAGAAACAACTGGGGTGGGCAGGAAGGCAAGTGATAGAGAGACTCCTTACGAAAAGGTCCGAGAAGCAGTGTCTAACTACTGGGGAAGCAAAAGGAAGAACGAAGAAGGCGATGTTATTCTGGCAAAGCGCTGCCTTAGAATTACAAAGTTCTCTCTGACATTTTGGGACGTTTCGAGTTACTAAGACCTTGAGATCAGAAGCCAAATGGTCTAACTGCTCTATCGAAATCGTAAGATTATTCGGAGTAGTTATCAAGATATTTTTTAATAGTTGCATTCGAACAAGCTTGACATTGTGAAACTCAACATTTTTACGTCATGTTTCTCGAAACTAGATACGGAGAAGACAGAACGTTGCCGTTCTAAGGTAGCGAAAGATCAGTTGCTCCCAACCCATTCTTAAAACACGGACTAACACATAAAGTATAGAGCCAAAGTAACAGCGAAAACAACAGTGCAAAAGGATTCCAAGGCACAATCCCTGGAGAGTAACTTACCTGAGCATAACTGAGGAAGAACAGTTGGTTGTTTGAGTAATTGAGTCCAGGTAAGGTAGGTTCCTCTTTTCCTCTTGTTTTTACCCAGTTTCTATAGGCCTTGAGGAAAAGAACATATCACTAGAAACATTCTAATGTTAGTCTAAAGATGAGAAAAGAAGAGATAAGATAACATACCATAACATAACATAACATAAGAGAAGATAAGTCTGAAAAATGGAATAGAAGGGAGCAAAAGATGACTTGTTTCTTTGTTTGTGTGTGTGTGTGTGTGTGTGTGTGTGTGTGTGTGTGTGTGTGTGTGTGT